CCACATTTTAAAGAATGCTTCTGAGTATTTCACATACTTACAGGATATTAACATTCAGGATTGTAACTGCCAACATAAAGGGGGAAAATTAGCCAATTATATTTGCCAGGTGTTGAATAGCTGACACTGCCGTAAGTATTATTATTAGAAGTGATTTATTTGAGGTGGAAAACTATGGGTCTGATTTGATCTCAGTCAAATTCACTGTCATTACTCCTGCATTAGGCTGATATAAATGGGAGGAATCAAGCCCAGTAGATTTTATTCTTCTTGAAATCAAGGGAGTTGCCTTGTGAATGGCAGCAGACTCTGGCCTAACTCATTACAGATTTAAAAAAGCATAAACTGGCCATGACATTTATCTTGTTCTGTTTAAAAACAATACAACTATAAATGCTCACTTCACTAGCTGGTGAGAAACTATGAGCAATAATTTACCCTTGCAGAGAGAACTTAGCAGATGAGTCCTTAATCATGGCTAGTAGTGCTCCTGATTAAGACTCCTTCTACTTCTCCCTGTAGGTTGCCATCAGCTGCTTCTTTCCCTCCTGCCCATGTTTTTTGTGTTGTAAAGTGGTGGAGGAGATAGGGAGAGAGAGAGTGAAGTACTGCATGCTGGACACTAGACTCTTTTACCAGCTCCTGCCAGTGAGCACCAGAAGAACTAATAGGTCCAACCAATTTCCTCTTGCGTGTAGGCTCTTAGAAGGGAAAAGGAAGCTAAAGTTTGCTGCTGGGACAAGTTGTAATTCTAGGCTCAATTTAACCAGCAGTTGCTCTCACTTCATGAAGTTCAGCAGGAAACAGCTCTGGCTTCCAGTCAGGGTCTAAGGTACACTCAAAGGCAAGAAGAAGGCATTGCATTCACACTCACCCAAGTACCAGTGAGGTCACATAGGAATAAACCTCTTGGATAGTTTGGATAATTAAGTTTTAAATAAAAATTGCAGTCTCTGTATTTAACTATACTATGGTACACAGGTCTTGCTATCTCCATGTCCATATGAATGATCAATTCCTAGACAATTCTCTGGATTCAATTGCTTCTTTCAGACGTATAGTTAATAACAAGTAAGAAAAGTATGTTAAAGATGAATATTTTGCAAGAAGGGCAGTAACTTGTTGCAGCAATTTAGTCTGCAAAGAATATAGGGATCAGTGCGGAAAACAGTCCTGTTTTGCTTTTTTAATGAAAATCAGATGTTACAAATTGCCCAAGAATCTTTGTGGATTCATTTATATTCTTGATAGAGAATGTAACTCATAAGCAGCAAGACTTTAGAAATACTGCATTGTTACTATGACTAGTTACCCTGCAGCACATGGACATCTCCAAACATCTTGGAAAAAAGATCTGGGACCACAGGAAACATGCCCTGAACTAGTGCACAGAGGGAGATTGGAGAACAGTGCAGGGGTTTTCTCAAAACAGAAAGAAAGAAAAGAGAACATGGATTCCCTGTATCGTTCCCATTTAGTATCACCACAGATAGTGCTGCTGCCAGACTATGCACACCTTCACATGGTGCCAAAACAGTAAACACTACAGTAATATTTTAATTTGTTCCAGTTGCTATGGGATCCCCAGGGGCTCCATGAGAGGTGAACTTACCTGATCCTCAGCTAAACAATGAAAGATGTGTAAAACCTCTTCAGCAGGCAGAGAAGTATAACACAACCTTCAAGGAATTCCTTATTTGCCAAGCTTGGGGAGGCTGGCTAACAGCCGTGGCCTACTAAGCAGTTAAAAGGATTGTATTAACAACTGCTCTCATGAACAGGGAAGACTTTAGAAGTTGGAATCTGTGGCAAGCAAGATGATGTTTTTTCCTGGAGAAGAACAAATTGCATTCTTGGAAAGGGATTGGTATTGCCTCTTTTATTCTCTTCTCCCCAACAGAGGGGAGGACTGAGATTTTGTAGCTACCGTGTCAGGCATAATGGTTGTATTGGCCAAGCTGCCATCACTGAAACCATTACATTTGTTCCAAGAAAAACGCCTTTCTCCCAGTACAAAATAAGAGTGCACAACCCTTCCAGAGATTTCTTGTGGAAGAGAACCAGCTCTTCTGCTAGAAGTTAAATCAGATACCTACCAGGAAGATCTCCCTCCTCCTGATCTAACTTGAATGGCCATACAGTTCTCTTGGGACAGAGAGATGCCCAGTGTCTGACAGTCCTGTTCACCATCCCTCACTGCAATGGAGAGAGAGAGCACTGGTTTCCTGATAGGCCACCAAGTGGCAAGCTGTCATAAAGCCCTGTGGGGACTGTCCCTTGGAATATTACCCCCTTCCTGCCAGCCATCTTTCAGGAAGTTTGCCACCAGGGAGAATTTCCTGCCCCTATTTGCCCTCCCCCCACCTCATTCCTCCTATTCAACCTAGAGGGGTATATTTGTTGGTGCAGGGAGACAGCTGCATTGCCACAGTAAGGTTCCAGGAGCTGGGCTGCACATGAAGCAATTTAATAGTTAGCAGGGCCAGGAATTGGGGTGGGGAGGCTCTCTCCAGCCCACTTCCTGGCTCCTCCAGCACATGGCATTATCTGCAATGTAAAAGCCAGCAAGGTAGGGAACCTGGTCACTGTTAAGGGAAGAATTTTAAACTGGAAGTATGGGGAAAACAGGCCCGGAGAGCTTCCCCAATGCCAGTATCTGGCCTGCAGGCTTTTAAACTGCCGTACACATGGTGATTTCAAAGTTGGCAGACCAGGTACCAGGGTCAGGTAAACTCTCCCTGGCCCTACTTCCCAGCACCTCTGCCTGTGAAACTGCCTACTGATAGCATGCCCTCTTCCTAGGTAGGGGAGAGAACAAGCTGTCAATCCCCTAAGCACAGCTGTCTAGTGCTCTCTGACCTAGAGAACTCATCTGTGTAGTTCTCCAGCCAGTACACTCAAACTCCCAGACTATGTTTTTAGCAGTAATGTACTGTGTTACAGTAAGGATTTGACACAAATACTTACCACTAGAGATGAATGCCTTGTCTACGGCCTGCAATGCCGCTATAAGGAATTAAGTGTCTACAAAGAGCATGACAGCTCTCAAAGAGCATGTTTATGCTGGTGTGATTCTTTTGTTTTGTTTTAATTTGTTTTGCCTTTCTTTAACTTGTTTTTGGAGTGGTTTAAAAGTTTTCCATTGGAGTCCATCTGTAAACAAAGTTTGGGAGCATTTTCTGAACTGATCTTGACTATGAAAATTATGATATAGCTCATGCCATTATTTTTGAAGCTTTCAGTTTTTCTACCAAAATAAAACCTGTCATTTAGAAAAGCATTCCAACCAAAATCACAGTAGGATAACCTACTTACAAACACCCTTCTTTCCTCTCTCCACCTTATTTTGAAGTGATTACTGTAAAATAGATGGCCGCCTTACAACCATCTGTGCTTCCTCATTAGTAACCTAGATATTTAAGAATCACATTTCCTTTTGCAGACTAAGTCCAATTAGTACTAGCTGACTTTTCAGTTCAACTCAATAGTCTGAGAATAAAACAAGTAACTAAATAACACTCTAGCCATAAAGCAAGCCCTAACAACCTCCTCTAGGCATTCAACTACTTCATCTCTTGCAATGCTTCTTGCATCTCACCAGTACAAACTACTTAGAAAAGGAGGAACTGGTGTGGAACCTTTGTGGGGCTACCACCCCAGCACCTGGTCCCCCTTAGCCCCTCCATGGTCCAACCCATCTGCTAGCTTCTCTCCCAGTGCCACCTCCAGTCTCCAGCTCTCTCCCACCTCCAGTCTCTCACCTGCCACAACTTTGATGTTATTTGGCTTGTT